TAGATCCCTTACGGAGGATGTATGTGAAGAAACGGAGAAGAGTCACAGGATGAGAAAGCATGCGTGGATAGGTTGAGATCTGCACCACTGAAGGGAATACCTACCCTGAAGACATCATAGGCCCAGTGAAGTATTACCCTGCTTAAGAAAATACAGTGCCCCTCTCGCCACGCATTTATAACTGGTCTCATTTTTGCTTCTCAATCGTTTGATCAATAAGTATTCACTGAACATCAGTTATCTGTCATACACACAGTTCTCTACTTAAGGGAGATGAAAAAGAAATTGAAAACACAAATCCGGACTTTTGAAAAGCATCAGTCTGGTTGGGAAAACAAAACATACACACAGCAGGAGTTAGACTGGGGCACACTCCATGGAAATGCGGAGCCATTTCTGGGGAAGGACTCTGGGATGAGGAAACAGTCCCCTTATTGACACTGAGCAAGAACAGTATCGGGGGACTTTAAAAGGGGAGTGACTCTACCTTCTACCTCTCTTCTATCTGGAGATGTCAGCATCTCAAGGGGTGAGGGTGGGGCTGATGACCTGCAGAAACAGTAAACTTGGCAGACGGCAGCTCCAGCATGCTCAAGATTAGGTGACAGAGACTAGGCCTTGGGCCCGGGGCTGCTGCTTCTGTTTTATTCCTTTCCTGAGTACAGGTTTATGAAAAGTAATTTCTGAGATAGACATGTCCAGCCTCGGAGACAACCTTTAAGTTCAAAAGACCCGGAGATCCTGGGTCCCTTGTTTAGAGGCAGTAGAGAGAGTTTCTGCATTGGAGAGGATAACCACGACAGGAGAAGATCAATCAACCCTTGGTCAGGCTTTCCAGAAGACAAGAACATGGTGAGAAGAGGTGAAATGTGAAATCCAGCAGTCCTGCAAACTGCATCATGTGCTGATGTTTTGAGTATCAACCTCTGGAAAAAGAATAAGAATAGCTAAGGTTACTGGCTTCTTCTGGCAATGGGCACTTGTGGGTTTTGTGTGTTAAACATTTCTTTTGGAGGAAATAAATAACTGGCCTTATCTGCATTGTAGATTGAGTCCTTTTCTACTCCCCACTTTTTGGAGGAGATCTTGGGCATGAGCCCAAACTAAAACCTTAAGCAATTCTCGGTGGGGCTCCAGGTTAGGATTATAAAGAGCCAAAGAGTGTGAGAAAGAGGCTGACCCTTCTCTTAGGTTGTCAGACTCCCCCAGGACTGAAGCTAGTTCTTGTTCATGGGTCCAGACCCATCCTGGAGAGGAAGAGTATACACCACCACAGCCTCCAGGGCCAAGCACACGTAAAACAACAAAAGACCAAATGATATAAGAATATGTTACAAACTACTTCCCATCACATCCTTTCTATTCTAATCAGGTTAGCCCCATCCAAATCTCACACACTCGTCCACAGGGCTTTGTTCATTCCTTTTCCTCTTCCTAGGCTGCCTGATGCTCTTTTTTCTCCATTATGACTCAGCTCAAAGCTCAGTTTTTTCAAGAAGTTTCTTCTGAGTATCCTATCCCACTGTGATCAATCATATGCTCTGTCTCTCTTCAATCCAAGGATCTAGTATATCCTAAAATCACTTGGGCAGAGGAGAAAGAAATGCTGCAAAGGGCAGAAAAATATAAATAAATTAAGCTATGGCTTATTATACTTTTAGATAAGCAATAATGTATATTTTATGCATTTTATACATTATCATATTCCAGGAAGTCAGCAGAGATTTCTTAAGGAGCAGATTTGTGACATCTTCCTCTTCATTGATAGCTCTAGTTTTAACCCAGAAAGAAGCTCATCACCCTTTACAGGGTCCTCTGCCTATAGAGTTACTGGAGTAATTCAGCTCTGAAGGGGGTCCCAAACACCACTGCCTACCTGCTTGTCTGGGCTGTCACAGCAAATGATGTAGATGTTTATTTATCAAACATACCGAGAAAGGAGTGAGGGTTGCATAACTCAGTACATTATTAATATAGACAATTGAGCACCAGGAAAAGTAAGTTATAATAATGTAAATCAGGGGGTTTATTGAATATCATTGGCACTTATTCATGTCTTTTTATAATTTTTTTGTTTCAGGCACATATCAGTTTCTTTTTTGGTACAACCTTCCATCCTAGCTTTGAACACTAGGTATTCAAAGAATGTATGATAGGTGAACAGAAAAATCCATTGTATTAATCAGTTGTATAAAGTTCCTGAGTAAATGTTGTCAAAAGAATCTTGGGCAGTCTAGACATAAAGTAGGCATTCATTCTTTCAAAAAACACTTATCAAGTGTCTATTGTGGACAAGCCTAGGACAAGGATTGTCCTAGGCACTGTGAGAGATGTAAATTTAGCTAAAATACAATCTCTGTTCCCACAGAGCTTACAGCCTAATGAAAGATAAGACACAATCACGAATAATTACAATATATGATATTACATGATACATTAATTAGATTTGCAAAACAAAATGTTATATGAATTCCAAACGGGGCGGGGGAGGGGAGTCATTACAGATCAGGGAAGGATTCACAGAGGAGATGGCATTTACACTGAGCTTTAAACAACAGGTAGGAATCCAACAGGTGAAGGGGGGAGAGAGACATTGTTGATATAGGAAAAAGCATAAGCAAAGGCACATAGGCAGGAAAGTGTGTAAAGACAGCTAGACAGACCTTGCTCTTAAAAATAGAAGCCTTATTAATTATGTCAGGAAATGGTACCCAGAGGGCTGGTGTCATCAGCTCTCGAGGGCTTAGTTATCTCTATGAGGATGATTCCCAGATCCAAATCAATCAATCACTGGCTTCTCAAACTCCAAGAGAGCTCATGATTTCTCCCCCTAAATTCCCTCCTCCTCCAGACTTTCCTGTTCCTACTGAGGGTACCACAGCTCCTCTATCCGCCCAGGTTTGCAGCCACTGTGTCATCCTCAACTAGTAATCCCCCTCCTACCACTTGCCCAGTTACCAGACCTCACCAATTCCACCAAACTCTGTCATTCCTACCTCCCCAACATTTCTTGCTTAGGCCCCTTTCCCTACCCTTATATAGGCACCACCTCTGTTCTTGCCTGAACTACTCCTCCAGCCTCTCATTTTGTCTTCCTGCCTCAGGTCTCTCCCCACTCCAATCTACCCTCCACACAGTTGCCTAGTAATATTCAAAAGCACAGATCTGACTGTCATTCCTTACTCTCTAAACTCAAGCGGCTCCCTATTACTCTAGGATAAAATATAAGCCTTTGCTTGGCATTTAAAGCCCTTCACAACCTGGCTGGCCCCAATCTACCTCTCCAAACAGCCTTATTTCATGTTATTCCTCTTCATGAATACCAAGGCTGTTCCTTGAACACAGCACTTCATCCTCATATCTTTGCATGGGCTGCTCTTTCTTGTGCGGAATGTATTCCCTCCTCACTTCTCCAAGAACCGTTGGTTTCTTTCAAGGTTTGGCTCAAACATCACCTTCTACATGAAGCCTTTCCTATCTCACCAACTGCCAGTGCCTTTCCTCCAAACTTATCTGGTATCTGTTTTGCATATATACCTATAAATGTGCATGTGATCCCCCTCTTCCCCCAGACTAGGCTTCTCAAGGTCAGCTACTGCCATATAAAGGTGCTTAATAAATGCTTCTGGATGGATTAATGTGACTAGTCAACAGTTAGCAGAAGTTAACAAACAGAATACATGTCATGTTTAAAAACTGTGACAGAGCTACTGAAAATGAGCTCCTGTGATTGGATGGGTCTGCCTGAAAAAGGTCAAGGAAAGGGAGCGAAAAGTCCCAGAGTAAGTGGGAAGATCAGAGAACAAAATCCTACACTTTCCAAGGGAGGGTGGGGAACAACTCTAGTTGTTCTATTTAGCGCTTTTGTGACCTTGGAAAAATCACATCCTCATTGGGCCTCAGTTTCCTCCCCTGAAAATCGAGGGGTTGGCCTAAAAAGAGCTGGAAGGTATCTCCTAACCAAAGCTAAACCTCCTAATCAGTCATTCCCGCTTCCCCAGACAGATGTGCAATGCAGAGCTTCACTCTCTCAAATTGCCAATCTGGCTCCACTGCAGCTTCACGCTTCACGGCTCGGGTCCACGTGGGAGTGCTTTCTAACGTAAGATACCTGTGCACCCACCACGAATGCAAAGCCACAGCCAAAGGTGAAGCCGGCTGGACCCCAACAGCAGCCCCGCCCCGCCCCCCCCCGCATTTATAGAAGGGTGGGGAGGGGTCTGAGTTCAGTTTCAGTTTTTCGATTGTATCGGGTTCCTTAGGTCCAAATGCTCTAATATGAAGCTCAGATTGGGTTGGATTGGCGCCTCCTCCAGGAGTCACAGTTCCTCTGACCTCCCCCTCCCTCTAAGATGCTTCCAGAGACTTGAGTCTGGAGGGGAAGTTGATGAGGGCCCGTGAAGAATGAATGAATGAACGAATGAATGGACAGATGAATGAATGAATGAACCAATGCATACACGCATGCATACTTCCACAAACTCCCTGCAATCTGCTGCTGAATGTATGCACGCACGCATGCATACATGCACACAGCCCCCTCCGAGGGGCCTAGCAGGGGAAGGCTCGGCTTGTGACTGACCTTGCTGGTGCAGTCACAGGCTCTGCAGTCCCCGGGCTTGGCGGGGGGGCGCTCATTGGTATTCCCCAGCCCGCCTGCGTCAGGCCGAAGCTGCTACACCGCTTCCCCCCCCCCCCCGTAGCCTCGACTCCTGCCCCAGCCCGCCAGCCCGCCACCCTCTTCGCTAGCGAACAGCACGCGCTCTTCCTCACTCTCGCCCCCTCCCTCCCCACCTCGTGCGCCTCCTCCCTTCCCCTCCACCAGGCGGCGCGAGCTGAGCCTCGTACCCGTCCCTGCGGCTCTGCTCCCCCCACCCCGCCACCGCCTTCCAGCGCGCTCCCGCCCGCCTGTCGAGAGGGGGAAGGGGAGGGGGCGCACAAGCTCCCGGCCCGCCCCCCTCCCGCCCACCAGCCGAGGGCGCTTCTGCCAGCGGGCCGGAGTAGTCTCGGCTGTTGGAACGGTGGGGCCGCAGCTGCCGCAGCCGGTAACAGCCGCCGCTCGAGCGGAACCGAGCCGAGCCTGCCTCGGCGGGTGCAGGCGGGGGGCTTCGCCCCGGGCTGGGGTCTCTCGCTCAGCCCCCCGCGAGTCCGGCCCCCGGGTGGGGCAGGTGGAGGGAGCTCAAGGTAGGACCCTCCCTCCGAAGCCCCCCGGGAGCGAAGGCGCAGCAGCTGCCCCAGCTCCCGAGCAGGCGGGGATGCGCAGGGCGGGGGTCACGTCGTAAGTCCCGGACCGGAGCCGGAGCGAGTCCCCGGGTAAGCGGTGGGGACGGCGGTGGGGTATGAGCTTGGGGCGCGGCCGGGCCGGGAGGGGGCAGGGCAAAGGGGGCCCCCGGCGGAGCGCGATCTCCTCCAGGGGCCGCCTGCAGCTGGCAACGCCCTGCAGCTCCCCCCACCTGGCCTCGCCCCCGCCCTGGGCCCCCGGGGCGTGGCTACCCCCCATCCCTGGAGATGAGGGCCCCCGGGGCCGAGCGTGAGCTCAGTCCGGTGGAGGAGGTGCCCCCTGATGCTGAAGAGCCCACCCTCGCCTGCCTTCGGCCGGGGTCTGGCCTTGAACATTACCGATCTCCCGGACTGACCACTTACCCCGCATGGCACACAGTAGGTGCTTAATCAATACTTGTTGTCTTGGGAGAGGAGTGGTTTTGCACCTGGCAAAATGTTTGGCGAAATGACCCCGCCAGGACTCAGAAGGCGCTTTGGGGTCCCATCTGCAGGAGCTCCCCCAGAACTTGACCGTGGGAAGGAAGAGTGTAGAGGAACTGGCCTGGCAGGTGCCGAGATCGAAAGTTGGAGCTTTGTAGTGGGGGGGGGGGGAGGCAAACTAAGAGGGAAGCCAAAGGAAGATTAAAGGACCCGTCTGTCACATTTGGCAGAAAGGGAAAGATTTCCAAACTGGGGAGTATTTGGCCTGAGGACACAGGCATTCCAGAAAGATGCTTTAGGTTCTTTAGGTATAGTATATAGATTGTTAATTGCCATAAAATTCTGTGTTGCTTTAAATATAGGTGGTATAGCTCTCTGTACATTCCTAGCTTGGTATGTACTGAGGTTGGAGAGGAAGGCGGTAACCAAGGAGAAAGATGGATTTTAGCTAGTGATCCTGAAAACTGCTGAGTGGTTATTTGTTAAGAGCATGTAAGAGAGAAGGCTATCTTAGAGCAGTAAAGAATTTGTGTTTGTTGGTGTTGCTGCATTTAGAGCCTAAGGAAAAAAGATAGTCTACTTAGGCAGGAGTTCTTAACCTGGGGTCCACAGGACCACAAGGGGTTGGGATAGATTTCAAAGAGTCCATGAACTGGGGTGAAGGAAGAAAATTACATCTCTATTTCAACATAACTGGTTTCTTTTGTAATCCTATGTGCTTTATCTTATGCATTGTAAAACATTCTGAGAAGAGAGGTTCACAGGCTTCCCCAGACTACCAAAGGGTGACAAGTAAAATGTAGGGATGGTACCCTATGACTGAGTTCCAGTGGCTCCTTTTATTATTCAGCCTATGTAGAGAGCTCAGCCAAGTTGAAATGATAGAACTGGAAGGGACTTTAGAAAACATTTTTACAGATGAGAAAACTGAGCTCTTGGAATTCTCCAGGAAAGAAATTATTTGCCCAGGTCACTTAGTTGATATCAAAGCTAGAACTAAACCCCAGATCTCCCGACTCCCAGTTCAGTGCTTTCTTTTTTTTTTCCTACTGCATCACAGGGTTTCTTTCCAGGCTCTGGCCCTTGACATCATAAGCATTGTGATATTTCCATATAATTTGGGAAATCTCAAATCAGTAGTCAAGAAAAGGCAACTTGAAAATGGTCACTGATCCAGGGCTAGTACAAGAAGTGAAGGGAAGCACGGTGTAATATGATGGTGACGCAGAGGTGACCTTACCGGTTGCGAAATAATTGAGATTAATGAAGGACTGTTAGTCTTACCGTGTCTGACCATCTCTCAACTCAGCAGGCCCATTCTCACAGCCATTTGTGTGAGGAGTGACTAACGCTAGAGCTTGGGGTTAGAGCTGGGTGGCATTGAACTAGGAGAGTGTTCCAGTAAGTATAGAGCCACAGATCTGCACCAATACCTAAGATGAGCTCTGCTGGGAATCAGCAAATAGGAATCAGGAGTCAAGCAAAGGAAAGTGAAAAGCCTGGGTCTGACATTTAAGCAAATACTCTAGTTAACTTAATCCATGTCACCAAAGGACCATTTAGAGAGAATATTCCTCCCACCTCCATAGAACCAAAGGTAATGCGCTTCCCTTTTTTTTCTGGTGCCTTGATTGCCCTCAGTCTACTGCTCTTAACACTCTTGTATGTGCCCTCTGACCACACTCTTAGGATTTTCCTCCTACCACTCATATTGTTCTACCAGCACCTTTAATAGCTCCTCTTCTCTACATCCATTAATACTAGGCTAGTGGTTTAAACTAGTTCAGTACATAGGTGACTAATCTCTTACCTCTATCTCAGTTCTCCTGCTTCTAGATACTCTTTCAACACAACAAAAATGAAACTGTCTTTCTTCCTATCCTTTCCTTTGTCCAGTTTACTCATTTTACCCAGCTACCAAATACTACTGCTAATGCACAGGTCTGATTACATTATTCCCCTGCTTTTATACCTTCAGGAGTTTCCCCTTTGTCTACTACTGAAAGTACAGACTCTTAGCCTGGCATTCAAGGCATTCCCTAATCTATCTGGTTCCAGCCTTCTTCCAGGCCTTATTTCATACCATTTCCCTTCATGCATCCTACACTCCAGCCAAACTGGACCACTTAATGTTTCTGGGTTTCTTCTAGCCCTATCCCATCTCCATGCCTTGTACATGCCACCCTGTGTCTGCAGATTTTCCTTACGTGATGAAATCTTTTTTTTCCTACCCAGCTCAGGTGCAACCTCCTAGAATCTAGGACCTAGATGCTACCTTCCCTGATTCACTACCATCTGATCAACCACTATACTCCTCTTCTCAGATCACATATTCTAATTTGTATTCTGATTTGTGTACCTCTCTTATTCTCCGTACTGGATTCTGAACTCCTTGAGTGCAGAGACTATTTCTCTTTCCGTTGTTATATTCTGAGTTCCTACTAGTGTGCCTTATATACAGTAGGTTCTTAATAAGTGTTTGTTGAATTGAGTTGAAATATCTCTTCCCATCATAGCCCCAAATCCAGGAATTCAGGAGACTATGATCCTGGAGTTGACCACAGCCACCCATTTGGCTTCTACCTCTCCTGTTGATCCAGGGGAATCTATAGCATTTCTCACTTTCACCATCCAGCTAGGGGCACAACAACTCATTTAATAAGGCACTTTAAGGCCCACTGAAGCTCTCCTCCACTATCTCAGCCTGGTATGGAGGTGGCTTGGGATTCTCAAAGCCTATGACAGGGGAGCATAAGCTCTGGCAGGTCCTATCAAGTGAGACAATTTCAAATAGGGATCTACAGTTGGCCTGTAGGTCTACTGCCAACAGATCAAGCTAGCTAACTAAGATCAGAGATTCAGGATCAGGTTAGCCCCAAGATGATCAATTTTTTGGCCACAGCGAATCCTCAAAATCATGTACTAAGTTATAGGAGCAGAACAGTCTGTTCTCTACCGTGGGAGTACCTACACCAGTGAAATCATACACTTGAAGTGTTTTAGATCTACAAAATACTTTGCTCATAAACGCTGTATGAGCTAACTATGAGTTATGTGAGTATTTATCCCATTTTACAAATGAAGTCAGAGAAATTAAGAAATTAGCCCATAGTCACATAACTGGTAACATCGGAGCCAGGGTTCAAACTCAGGTGTTGGGATTTCCATTGCTGTGCCCCTTCCACTGTACCAGGCTGTCTTCCAGCCTACTGGTTGGGGAAAGGGATGGGGGTAGGGGTGGGAGGCAGTAACAGTGGTTCAGTAGAGAATCAGAGAAACTGGGCTTCAAATCTCAAGCTTTGCTACTGCCATTGTGGCCTTGAGCAAGTTATTTCATTTCTCTGGGCCTCAGTTTCCTGATTTATAAAATGAAGATAGTGGAATAGAAGATGATCCCTGCTAGCTTTGAGTCTATAATCCTAAACTTTCTATCTCCCTTAGCAGCTAGCAAAGGGCTCTCTGTACTTAGTAGGTGCTTAAATATTTCTTGATTTATTTGCTGGTTAATGTGCTTATATAACTTCTTGACAAAGCAGTTTTTACCAGTTCCTCCAATTTCATACAATTCTGTGCAGTTTGGTTTTTTTCTAATTACTACTAACTAGGGCTCACAAGTGTTTTAAAGATTTACAGAGTTCCAGAGTTACTTATAAAGCTACATAGTGTTTATTTATCTTCCTTTATTACATTGAAACTGTATGGCTATCCTATGCCTAATGTCCCAGTAACATCTTGATGAGTTGATCTTATTTCTCAGCAAACATACTTTTAGGTCCTAGAGGAGAAATGGCATTTCCTATCTGAACTCCTAGGTTACTATCCTGACTGTAAGCTGCCTATATAGACTTTCCTACTTGGTGGAGTTAAGGGACCATTCTTCTCCCCTATTTTCCTCTTTGATCCAAGGTATTCTCTTCTAGTCATTCTATCTTAACCATACTGTAAGCAATCTAGAAAAAGATTTTAAAGACCTAGCATGGCATGATCAAGAACAGGTTAATAGGAGGAGTTAGATTTGTTCTAGGCCTTAGCTGGCTGAACTAGGAACAATGCGGTAGATATGCAGAGAGGCAGATTTAGACTTGATACAAGAAAAAACTTCCTAACAATTCACGCTATCCTAAAGTTGAATTGATTGCCTTGAGAGATAGTAAGTACTCCTTCAGTAGAGATCTTCAAGCAAAGGTTGGATAACCACTTGTGGATGGGTTGTAGAGGGACTTTGTATTCATTTATGGGTTGGATGACATGAGCCTTTGAGGTCCTTTCCAACTCTGAGATTCTGTGATTTATTCCGTGATTCTTGTAGGTGGCTGTAATTTTTATGTGAGGTCATAACCATGGTGGCCCCCATTTTTTTTTGTTTCACAATCTATCTGTTGCTCACTAGATCTTAATTGTTTGACCATCCTGAGAAAGGTTCTCCAGTCTCCAGTCCCTCTTCCACAGAGCTGCCAGTAATCTTCCTATTCTAAAGCACAGGCCTGTCTATGTCACTCTCTCCTCAAGAATCTTTAGCAGGATCCTGTTGACTTGAAGATTAACTCTGAACTGCTCAGCTTAATCCTTCCCAGTCTGTCTCCAGCCTGCCTTTCCAGCTTTGTTGCATT